TTTGATTAACTACACATTGCGGTTGGCAGACTGAGTTGACAATCTCCTTGAACAGAAATTTACAAATGTTTTCAGGATAATCAGTTGGTGTACAAAGATGTACAAATTACCATTTCGCTTGCTTAGAAATAAAGTACATAGTACACATATTCCTGATGCTGGCTTTATTAAGAGTTTGAAGAAGTTTCTAAAGAATGTTGGAATTTCATAAGGCGGATGACTCCTGATGAGAATGGGATGAGTTCTGACGAGCTTTAATGGTAGGATGGAAGACATTGCTGTCATATTTTCACCCAAAGTCGTATTACTCCCTATCTCAGCGCTCCACCCCAATCAATCTCAACTAATTAGCGGCTTTGGTGTGGCAGAGAAAACCACAAATGCCACATAACTGCACAATTCCAAAGGCCAGCACGTGCGAGCGATTTGGCCATTTTGGGCAAATAATAACAGCGAATCACTAATTAGCAGAATGTGTGTATAAATTAATTGAAAATCCGCTGCATACCTAATAATGGGCATATTTTCGCCCCTGCATTGTGCAATCTGACATTAAAGCGACAAATTTGTCTATAAAGAGAAGCCCAAAACAAATGTGTCAGTTTCGTTGTCATTGCCAGTCGGTGAGTGGAGCGAAGAGAAGAGAGAGAAGAGCAGAGCAGAGCAGAGGGCCTCGACACGTACAGGGGCCATAACTCACAGAGAAACAAGAGCCCATGAAACGGGCGCAAGTTCATAAATTATGGTACTATATGTCCACTTTCCGGCCAGAACGACTTTGGCACTCGATTTGCAGTTAACAGGGTACAGGATACAGTGTAACAGCGCCGTTCCAGTAGCATCCGGGCGTAATTAATGGACATACTCGTACATGCTCGCGTTTTTGTTTGGCCTGATAATGCGTGTTCATTGGGCTTTTAGCACGCTCAGCGTAATTGATATGCAATTAAATGAAAACCAAAATTCAAATGAGCCCTCCAGTAATTAAATCAAAACCAAAATTCTAATAAGCTCTTAAGTAAGCCACACAAAAGCTGTTTAAGCCCTTTTAACGCTCTCATTTGTTTAACTTTGCCGAAAGGACACTGAATACAGCACAGCAGAGCACACAAAACTGAGGAGAGAGTACAGAGGACAGTTGACGGAGAACACAAAACTCGAAAATGGCGAACACGACAACTACATTATAGATTATTTTGAAACATTTTAACTTGTTCGAACTCTTAACACGCCCGGGATGCCGGTTATTTCCGCTCACTGAGCACAAACATATACAGATACTGCCTCACGTACGTGGACAATTTTGGGTAAAGGACTTGCGGTCAACATGAAATGATGCTGATGCGCTATTGGACTATAAAACGTAGCCAGCCAACTGTGAAAAACAAGCCTGAATGGGAGAACACAGGAGTAAGCGAGGCACGAACCCTGGCCAGGGTAGAGACAGCTTTAAGCCCAACTCTGAAATGTGTGCTACACAGTTTGAACGGATTAGGAAAAATCGTAAATGAATTATTCAAGACCCTCAATGCCCTGAAAATTGCTTTACTTTGTACATGCTCGTACACGGGCCACATTCAATATCAGTCCCGGAATTTGGCGTAAGTAAGATTCAGAAATCTCCGAAATATTCTCCATTTTGTGTTCTATTTTTTTGGATTTTTGGACTCAGTTCTGAATTAAAAACAATTTTTTATTCAGCTTAATCCAATGAATAAAAAAAATCAGTTGATTTAAGCATTATTGTAGCTGCATGTAGCTCGTTTATCCTATTCAACTTTTTATATATAATCACATATGTACGTCATATTAAGCATTTGTGTACAAAGACAATTCTGTATGTCCCTTTTCACCTTTAACATTTTATAGGTACATATCCGAATCTCATTTAATACAAACAATGCAATAAACATATAAAACATTCATAAGAGCTCTGCCAAAAATTGTGTGCACCATTATTGACAGAAGTGATAAAAAAAAAAATAGAGAAAGGACATGGGAAAATGCTCGCGCAATTGGCGCCAATCCAAACAGCAAAATGGAAATGACAACTGACACTGGTGTCAACCTATTTTTCCTTACTTATTTTTCCATCGTTTCTGCCTTCTCCCTCCTACTGTGGGTGTTGCACTGGTGACCGTAGTCAAGAGCAGCGGCGGGAAAGCAGAACGAAGAAATAGGTTGGGTGCCCAAGCAATTGATGGGCATTGGACCACACAGGGTGCCATAGTTTATTCTACAAAGATTATTACACCTTCAATACATACATATGTATATATGTATGTACCAGATGCGCACAATTCCTGAATGGATCATTCAGTGCACGCTAGAGCGAATGAGAGCTCTCATTACTTATTGTAGGAAAGTCGAACCGCTTTCCATTTCAAATCCAGTGGAACCAAGCAATAAAACTGTCACTGGAGCACCCTGTCCAAATTCAGTGATTGAGGTGGCTTCTACTTCCTTTTTGTTTTGTTTTCTCTTTTCTCTTTCCTCTTGTATCATTTTCTTGATTATCAATTCTCTGCTTTTTTATTCGAAGCAAAAGCAGAAAAAAATGAAAATGAAAAGAATCGAATCGAAAAATTAAAAGAAAAGGAAAGTTGATGTTGCGAAATATTGTCAAAGCAATAGCCCTCAGGGGTCTTCGCCTCCTACTTCCGAAGAGCTGGCGGAAAAGTTTTCAATTTCAGAATGTTGATTATATGCTCCAAGGCGTACGACTCGATTGGTCTTTTTCCTGGTATATCTATCTTTAATATAAGTAAGTTTCTACGAGTTGTGGAGAGTTTGTTGGTAGGCACTTCTCGAGGCTAGAGTCAGCAACGCTGCAGAATATGACACAGATTTCTGCTGCTCATAATTTCATGCAAATGAAATGCGCTTTGCCAGCATTCTGCGGTCTTTCGCTGTCTGGCTTTCCGCACACTTTAACCGCCTAAAAAGGTGGGGACACAAACAGCTGTGGGGCGTGACACCAGCGCAGTGAACACACACGGGTCTCCATTTTTCCTTCTCATCCGGAAAATGTGTGTGCTACAGCTGCCACAATTATGGGCATTATCATGCCCCACAGTGGTGCTGGTGCTAGCACTGGGACTGCGGCTTGGGTGAGTCGTCTGCCCTCAAAAGTATGCTCATCATTTAACCTACCTGCCGTATGACAAGCAAACCTGAAATGCCACTGAGAACTTTTTTCGTTCGTCCCTTTGTCAGGGAGGAGGCAACTGCACTTCAAGAGTGTCCTTCATCATGTGCTCCTCTAGTTTTTGCAGGTACATACCTCGTTCTTGTAGCGTACATGAGTATTCTGTATTCATATTGAGTTATTCTCTCACAAGCCACTCATAAGTCTTCTGCAGATCAATAACCACGGCGATGACTAGAATAAATGGGGCTTACATTTGGTGGAGCAGAATATACCTAAATTGTTTATCGATTGATGCAAAAATCAACACAAATAGATACATTTTGCAATTTTAAGGACAAAATAAATTGCTTACTATCATCATCTCCATGCCATCTCCTTTCTTCTTAATTTTGCTGCTGCTGCGGCTGCAATGTTTCTTTTCTATAAGAATTCAAAATTAATCTACGTAGCGGGTATATTGTAGTCGAACTACACGACGGTTGCCTCATACTTTATATTTTATCTTTTTTGTAAAAGTAAAACGTTGTTGAGTTCATTAAAAATTTGACTAAGTGCGTTGTCATCATCATCATGGCATGGCAAAGCTGGCGAGGGCTGGCGAGGGCTGGCAGGCATCTGCTCTTGTGTCTCTGGGCATGACTCTGGCTCCTCATAACCGTCACTGCGACTATGAGGCTATACATATGTGTGATGATACTTGGCTTCCTGCACGTCCTTGATGTCCTAACGTCCCGATGTCCCGGTGTCCCGGTGTCCTGCGTGGGTGTAGGTACGAGTCGGCACGAGTTTGTCGGGGGCGGCTACTGATGTGCGGTAGGCGCACTTGAACTTTGGCGTTCTGTTCTATTCGTGTGTGTGTGCGTATGCGTATGCGGAAAATGGTTTTGGTTTTTTGTTTCGGGTTTTGCCCACTGAAATTGGATTTTCTTGCTAAACGCACGCAGAATGTCTGAACCGGGATTACGTCGAGATGATAGTTCCCCATGGTCTGATTGCGACACATCAAATATTCAGGCGGCATATGGTTGGGGCAGAGAGCAATTAAGTCGACATCCAGAGACGTACTATATTAGCCTCGAGTTTTGAATACATTGCAATGGATGGACAGTAGCACACTTAAATGTATCATCAATATCATTTTCTCACATAAATATTCTCCATCATATCTAAGGATCGTAAACAATTATTTTATAATATTTATAAAAACGTTAGAATAATATAGTAATGTAGTATAGCTACCATTACTAAATTGTTTGGTCAGGTGTGAGCTAAAATTATATAATTCACTCACGAGCAATCTTCTGATCGAACCCCACAGCTGGTTGTTCTTTCAAGGAATTTATCAACTATTAACGGGGAGAACGAATATATATTACTTGTAAACACCACAGCCATAAAATACCAATCTCGAAAGTCATCAGAGGCATGATTAATGCCATTCCCAAGCATGCCGAACAATTCTCAAAACTCAGGCACAAGAGACTCTTGCAGTTCTCTTCCACAGATATCTCTTACAAAAATAGGAACGGGGAAAAATTCTCCTTCTCTCTGTTGTGAATATGCGGCACAAAAGGGAACGCGAGGAAAATTCAACGGATTCCCTAGTGGTAAAATCAATAGATAAAGGAAAAGCCAACGGGAACAGCTGTTCCGGAAAGGCGGGCGGCGGCAAAATGTAAACACGGCAGAACGGCCGAGCGGCCGAGGAGAGCGACTAAAAATAGGACACCAAAGAGCGCCACACGGAAGAGAGTCCTCTGAGAGAGAGAGAGAGAGAGAAAGAGACCGAAAGAGATTTAACGATTCTCGCCGCACACGGAATTTCCACATTTTCAGTCATTCGCAGCTCTTCAACGTCGGCGGTTCGTGGCTGGGAAAACGCGGAAGCCCCCGACTCGGGCCCCTACACACTCACACCCGTACACACGTACACACCCATACACACGCAAGCAGTGACAGTGTGCTCCATATGTGTAATCAAAAAGCGTTCGGAGCCCCGCACTAAGAGCAAGCGTTTATATATAGAAAATATCTACGCACAGCTGAGGAAAACTAAAATACCAAAATAAATTACGAGAATCACAGCTTGTCCACTTTGCCGACCCGAAATGAAAAGTTACATTTTCTGTGGTGTTTACGTGGCCTGCGAGTGTAGGCAATAATCACGGTTATTGTTATTATTATTTCCATTACGAATACGCCCAGTGTGTCGTCGGTCGGTCCGTCGGTTCGGTTTGTGGTGAAAATAAAGAGCGAAAAGAAAAGCAAGAAAGAAAATCCCGTCGCTGCCGGCGTCGCTGTCGGCGCTGCGACTCCACCCAAAATTGTATATCAATTTTAAGGTGTTCTCCTCTGCTTAGAGTGCGGTGCGGCCCGGAGAAGCGCCCTGTCGATGCCATAGTGTCCAGATCCATACCCAATCCCAGCGAGAATCGTCGTAGCGAAACAACAAGGAAAATGCGAGAAAAATGTTTGGTTTATGCGAAAAGTTGATGACACATTTTGCTGTCATTTTGACCGCATTTCTCGTCTCCCAGCCGCTGTTGTTGTTGCTGATTTGCGGGCCGCCAGCGACGCCGTATGGCGGCAGTTCCACCTCATCCTCGTCCATCTTGGTGCAAGCATCGGCAGCGGATGAAGCGTAAGTTTCCCCTTTAAAGCGGGCTGGGCTGGTCTGGGCTGGTCTGGCCGGAATAGATACTCGAACGTGTAGTTCCACATGTTCGACACGCATACCCGCACGTATCCCTTGTGGGGGCTTTTGAAAACAAGTCAATTAAGGGGCGTGTTCCCATCATCATCGTCTTTGTCGCTGATGTTACTCGTATTCCCCTTCGAGCCCTGCTCCTGCCGGTCCCTGTGGCCCGTCTTCGTCTCGTTTTCGATGTCGCTCGTTAATTTTTCGTACATTTTATGCTAATTTTGTTTGGCAGCCGCCAGTTCCCTCTTGCTTTTTCTTTACAGAAATTCCCTGTAGGCATTAAGTGGGCTTATTGGGCTGTGGGTGCCCTGTGGGTATCGAATATTATCTGCTTATCTTCACAGATTATTTTCTCATCAATTTCTCAATAACGTTGTACCCAAAGCCGCTGAGTAATTTAACATACATTACTACAGACAGCAACAGACTGCTGGTGAATGCTATAATAATATTTCACTCTTCTATTGTCGTCTGCTCTTTAACGGACTTTAATCCGTATTTTCATTCCCGTAAGCTGTCTATGTAATTCATGGCAATTGGCTTTCACTTCAAACGAAAATCAAATTATCTCGGGCTTTCATTGCAGCCTACATTGAAATTAGCCCAACATTAAAATTAGCATTCACTTCATGACTATTGACTTTATTCGATTGGCAATTCAATGGAAATATGCTTCTTGTTTAGTTTAGAATTAGATTCGTGTGTGGACAGCATTCAGCTTGAGTCGATATTGCTTTTAATATAATACATACATATACATACACATATTTATGCCTCACATGGAGTAAAAGACTCTGAAAGTAAGCCCCTAAAATACTTAAAACATTTCCTTAGTTATTCATTCTTGAAATATGATGGGTCACAGCATTAGGCATTGGAAAGTTTAATCCTTTGGCGATCTACCAGAATGCTTCCTTATTTCCCCGATAACTTTTGAATTTATTTTATTTTTTTCATTTTTATTTTATAAAACTCTTCAAAAATTTTATTTGTACAACACTGAGATTTGAATAAAATAAAATCAGTTAAACACCTTAGGTATATGAATAACCATAAATCCTTATGTTAACCTTCATGTCATTTAGGTACATTCCACAACCTGCTCGTTGCAATTTTGATGGAAATCCTCACAAATGACAAATAAATATTTAATTACATCTTGCCTTTATGAGTTTTCAGTTTTATGACCACTAGATTTCCCCCGAGGTATTGCGAGAGTCGAACCCCACGCACCTTCTTTCGGACATTTCGCATTGCGTGCTTAAGCATTTTGTCTTTTGTTTCGAGCGTTTTTTTCTTCTTCAGTTTGCGTGCATGTGTGCGTCAGCATTTTTGTCCACTGTTACTCATTCCCTCCGTCTCACTTTTGGTCGCCGAGATGGTTGCTTGGGGGTCGAGACGCTTCGTTTTGCTTTTGTTTTGGGCCGCAACTTTTCATAAAGTCACATAAAGAAATTATTTGTCTGACATGCTGACTTGGGGAGCGACGCAAACAGGTAGAATGGTAGAACCAGCGACGCCCATTTACGCCTAATGAATACTTTATTGGACATTTGTTGGGACCGCTAAACATCATGCCCAAAGTTGTGCAATTAATTTAAGTAACTAGACGGCTGAGCTGGACATTTTTGTTATTTGTTTTTGTTTGTTTGCTTCCATGGATAATGTTCGTGATGCGAGTGAGTCAACAAAGAACCAGAGAAGCATAATTTTAATTAAATAAAGAATATATATGTCTATACAGTGAACACATATAGTATTTGAATAAAATATTAGTTGAATATTGATTCTAAAGCCAAAGTATGTCAGTTAATGGAATGAAGATTCTTGTATTCCTATAAAGAAATATTTAATTTAAATTTTGTCTGTATTTTTGTATATTTTTGAATCAATATCTCCTGACCTATGAGAAGACTTTTTCCAAAAAAAAAAAATCGAATGGGGATAAGATTGGTTTTTTACGGTATAATCTCAAATCCGAGTGGACACTAAAATTTCGTTAATAAAGGGATGATCAATAAAATGTAACTAGAACATTCGTAAAGAGTAAAACCTTTTGGCAAAATGGACTACACTTTTAAGACTTAAAATTTTGTATCTCAGGCATTTCATCACGAAGATTTTCAACTGAAAATCAAGATTTCAATTTCATCGATTATTAATAGGCATTCCTATTTCAATAGTATTCGAACTCATATCTGATATCATTTATTGTTGGAGTACACTTTAGAGTACATACATACATATGTGCATATACATATGTATGCACGTCAGAGAATCACACTTATAAATAAACTATTGAGCAAAAATTCACAAGAAAATTAAAAATATATGTTCAGTTAATTCTTTGATATGGAATATACACATTGGTATTTATGCGAATTTCCTTAGATCCAAATCCAAAAAGAAAAAACTTAACAAATATTAGGGAAAAAAAACTAAGTGACTGACTCATAAAACTGTCGCAAGGCCACTCAATTTAGAATTAAGTAAAAGTCCAATTAGTAGCCTACATCAAAGGGACATAAATAATTAAGTATTTGCGGACAAAAAACAAAAAGTCTCCAACCAAATTAGCGCTACTAAATAGCCACAAAATGTTGGCCTGGAGAGGGAGAGGGAGAGAAAACCAAAGAGATTTAATGTTCCCATTACACAGAATATTTAATGGAGGGGCGGGACTTTCGCCGCAATGCCAACATTAATAGAAAATGGCCATTTGTACCCCAAGGAGCAGCAATAAAAAATCAATCTAAAATGTAAAACAATGTTGAAAATGTGTTTGGCACAGCCGCAACAAAAAAATGTGCACGTTTTGCTATCCGACCCGCCTACAATATACATATGTACATATTTTCATTTAGCACTTTGAATATTTCTGACCAATATACCCGTTCAGGATTAATTTGATTATTTTGCATTCGAATGGGAAACAACTCGAACACGACACATATAAATTGATCCCGATTGCAAAATACTTTATACGGGTTGGGGAATAGTGAGGAATCCATGGGCATAGTCTTTAGACCGCTGGTGTACTCGTATGTGCGGTCCAAGGCGGACGGGGGTCGGTTTGTTGTTGTCCAAGACAGCTTCAACTCGGCCATGTAGTTGTTGTTGGGCGTATGTAGATAACAAGACCCATCTAAAACAATGACAAACAAGATACGAGCAGGGCCGCGCTCAAAGCGATGTGGCCAAATTAATTGAACAATTCCAGGACGCAATAAAACCCGGAGAGGTATCATCCATTTCCCACTAGAAACAGACGACAAACGCCAGACCGCCGCGGCGGGGCCGTGCTCGAGGGTGCGTTTGCATGTGCGGGGCGAAATAACTGTGTCAAAGGCAACGTCGCGTCGGCGACAGAAGTGAAATGAAAATGGCCGAAGCAGCGCCGCCGGCAGCGGTGGCACCATCGATGCCCCAACAAGAGCGCCCCCCGTCCATACAAATGGAGAGCAAGAGAGAGATCGCATTGTGCAGTCATGCGCAGGCCCCCAATCCATCAAATGTTTATAATAATTGCTGAACTTACACTTGAAGAATGGCTAGGCCAATGCGTTTCCCCTTATTTTTCATTCGCAAATTACTTTGATGTTAACGATCTTTGCAGTATGCCAATGATATCAATAGAAAGAAATGGCAGCCAGAGATTCTCAGGAAATGGCTGACTGTATTGAAGGGAACATTATGATTTCTAGATGCATAGAGGTGGAAAATTGGCTAATCCAATGAAGAAGCTACGCATACTACCCAAAGTAATTGTGTTATTGCAAGAGGGCACAAGAAGAAATTTGATTGAGATTTGTTTAGAGTATTCATCACAGTGTATTCATCACCACACAGCTGATTTAATTAGTTATTTTATTTGAATATATGGTTGTAAATATCTATTGCATGGTGTAATAAATAAATACTACCTATATCTCGAATAAAAACCAAAATTGTGATTATTTCTAATACCTAGAATTGTCACTTCTGGTACTCCCATCCAGCATTTCTGAGTAATTAAGTGATTGTTTGCTTATTGGTTACCCTAACTTATGGAATCTTAGCTCCATAATCTTTGCACCACAAGTTAAGAGAGAGCGTGAGTTTGTGTTACTAAGAGAGAGCAGTAGTACACATGAGAGAAAGTGCGCGCGCAGGCACTTGTTGATCTCTCGCCACGTAGGCCATGCACAGCTGATTGTGGTGAGAACGCTGGCGTCGCGACGCTGCCAAGGGTGGGGTGGCCGTGCTGTCAGCACTATTAAGTGCCTCTTTCTGAGAGCACACCTTGCTTGTACCCCCAAACATCTCACCCTACCGCACCTCCTCCTGACCAACCCCTGACGAACATGTGGGCTAATTGAATTAGTGGAGCTCGGACAGGTGGTTGACACTTTGCGACTTTTTTCTGTAGACTGTGCAGAGTGGCCTGCTGATTTCTGATACGTTATTTTTGTGCTCGTCTCGTTTCGTCTCGTTGCAGCGTGGGCAAGTGGGCCACAAAGTTCGGGGATGAGCTGTTCCTGCTGGCCCAGAAAATCACCAAATCGCAGGAGATCAAGGAGAAGTACAAGGAGTTCAATGCCCGTGTAGAGCTGAAGAACGGCACCGAGCTGATCAAGTCAATTACGGCCAATGTGGGCAAGATGCTGGCCCGCAAAATGGACGCGGTGCGGTGCATCCAGGAGAAGGCGGAGAGCGTCAATGAGAACTTCGAGTTCAACCTCACCTACGCGGAGGCCAACTACACCTACTTCTCCAGCAAGTACTCGACGTTCAACGGGAACAGCTCCGAGGAACTGGAGCCGAATGAAGCGGAGTTTGAGTGGATGTACCGCGAGCTGGAACTCAATCCGGACACGCACTTCTACAACACGCCCGTGGACACGAAGCACAGCTCGGTGCATGTACCCTCCAACGTCTGGGATCGATCGAAGCGCGTGCTGAAGACCATCATGTGGTCGGAGCAGCTGGACGAGGTCTTCCGACAGAACTACCAGTCGGATCCGGCCCTCTCCTGGCAGTACTTTGGCTCCGACACGGGCATACTGCGTCATTATCCCGCCTCTCAATGGACGGATCCGCGTCCCAATCGCCTGGACGCCGACACCTACGACTGTCGCAAGCGGTCCTGGTACATTGAGACGGCTACGTGCTCCAAGGACATTGTCATCCTGCTGGACCACTCCGGCTCGATGACGGGTTTCCGGCATCACGTGGCCAAGTTCACTATACGCAGCATCCTCGACACCTTCTCCAACAACGACTTCTTTACCATCTTCAACTACTCGGCCGGCGTGGACGACATCATACCCTGCTTCAACGGCGCCCTCGTCCAGGCCACGCCCGAGAACATCGAGGTATTCAACGACGCCATCGCCAAACTGCCGGACCCGGAGGGCTACGCCAACCTCACGCTCGCCTACGAAAAGGCCTTCCAGCTGCTGCGCACCTACTACGAGGAGCGGAACTGCAACGCGACCTCCACCTGCAACCAGGCCATCATGCTGGTCACCGACGGCGTGGCCGGCAACACCACCGAAGTTTTCCAGAAGTACAACTGGGGGAATGGCGAGAATGGCACCTCCAAAATGAACGTCCGGATATTCACGTACCTTCTGGGCAAGGAGGTCACGAAGGTGCGTGAGATCCAGTGGATGGCTTGCCTGAACCGCGGCTACTACTCGCATGTCCAGTCCCTGGACGAGGTCCACGAGGAGGTGCTCAAGTACGTCGATGTCATAGCCACGCCCTTGGTGCTGCAGAATGAACAGCATCCGCCCACCTGGACACACGCCTTCACGGACAAGACGGTGAGCGGACTGTTGCCTGTCCTTCGCTTAAGACATCTGTTCGAATCTCTCTTCTTTTATGGCCCCCTTAGTATGACCCAAAGACCTCGGTTGATCGACGGCCCCGCCTCATGATAGCGGTGGGAGTGCCCGCCTTCGACCGATTCTATCGCCACGAGAACAGCACCAATCGCAGGGCGCGTCTGTTGGGCGTGGCAGGAACAGACGTGCCCGTGGAGGACATAGACAAGCTAACGCTTCCCTATAAGGTGAGTCATCGAGCTGTGCAAATGTAACCTAGCCTAATGCATCCCCATCCTTTGCAGCTGGGCGTCAATGGGTACTCGTTTGTGGTGTCCAACAACGGGTATGTTCTTCTGCATCCCGACCTGCGACCCCTTGGGGTGAGTATGGGCAATCAGTCTCCCACAGTGCTGGTCCTAATGTCTGCCTCGGTCCCTTGCAGACCAATGGCAAAATGAATCCCAACTACAACAGCATCGACTTCACGGAAGTCGAACATCTCTTCGAGGACCAGAGTCCGCGCGAGCCAGGCGAATCGATCCTCAATATACGCAGCGCCATGGTGCGCCACGAGGCCAAGGAGTTCAAGGACATCTCGGTAAAGTTTCACTATGATAAAATGCGACGCGTGTCGGAGGAGATGCAGGATTACTTCTTTGCACCGCTGCCCAATACCCCGTTCACATTGGGCATTGTGATGCCCAGCGAGTATGGCAAGACGTGGATCAAGGTCGGCGATGAGGTGCAAAGGAGCATTCACAAAAAGGTCAACATATCAGACTTTTTCATCGGCGAGAACTGGAAGGTGCATCCAGACTGGTGGGTAGCCCCATTCCCCACTAGAATATGTACATAAGCTCGTAGAATATGTATGTAAGTGTATGCTCTCCCATAGGGTCTACTGCAAGTATCACTATCTGGAGGGACACGAGTTCCAGACCCCCGAGGCGGAGCTGCGCGAGTTTCTGGGCAAGATGGTCAAGGACGACTGGAAGTGGGCGGAGCAATATGCGGAGGACGAGTCCGATTGGGATGACAAGGACGATTGTATGTATTCCTTCCACCCATCTCAGCCACCCCCAGCCATCTATCTCACCCAGCACGTGCTCATCAACAGTGAACTGCGGCCGCAACACCCTCGGTAACGATGCCTACTATTGCAACAAGGAGCTGGTCCACCTGCTCATCTTCGACGCCAAAGTGACAAACTCCAGCTACGGCGAATGGAAGTTTGAGAACGAGGAGGAGCGCCAGCTAATCGAACGCTTCGGTGCCACTCTGCGATTCGTGGCCACAATGAGTGGGCTGACCCGCTGGCAGTTCATCTTTGGAGAGGTGGAGGTGGACACGGACCGGGAGTTCGGCGACTATCATACCACGGCCATCGACGAAACCTGGTACAAAAGCGCCATTCTGCAGCATCACGAGGATCGCACGGAGAGCTTCGTGTACTCCGTAAAGCACTACAACGATCCAATGGAGGACAGCGACCTCAAGGTGACCGCCTCCCATGCCATCTTCCCGCGAGATGGTGGCAAGGAGGCACCCGCGTGCGTCGTCGGCTTTCAGTTCTCCCACGCCCGCATGTGGGAGAGATTCTTCAGCATCACCGCTGTGGATAACGTAAGTCGCGGCCAGCCCTGCCAAGTGCAACCATTGTAATCGCCTATTTTCATAGTGCAACCATTGCCTGCCCATCTGCACCGACGACGATGTGGACTGTGTGGTCATTGACAATAACGCCTACATTGTGATTGGCCAGAACATGAACACCACGGGAAAGTTCTTTGGCGAGTTCCATGGCGACGTCATGGCTGCCATGGTGGAGAAGGGCATCTTCCAGGCCATCGAGGTGTACGACTACCAGGTGCAGTGCAAGGAGGAGCCAAAGACAAACAGCGATGGACACAGCCTGCTGCATGTATGTAGTAGAAGATTTCTCTGCTCGATTCGCTTAACTATTCCTTTCGTTTCGTTTCGGTTTGTTTCCACATAGCCCCTGCGCCTGCTGAGTCTGGGATGGAAGTGGCTGGTGGCCCGGCTATTCTTCCAGTACCAGAGGATCCAGTGGTGGGTGGATGGAGCACCCTGTAAGTGACTAAATCGGCAGATTCCCAGGGTGCACAATAAGCATTATGTATATTTATTTCAGTCATGGAATATACGGACGAAATCGAGGACGAATACGTGGCCGTGGGGGAGAGTAATTCAGCATCGGCAGCCAAGCCGAAAGAAGATTCCGACGATGGCAATGCCTTGTTCCAGGAACCCGAACCGGATCCCATCTACCATCCCTGCGACATGCGGTCCACGCTCTATGCCCTCCAGCCCGCTGCCCTGATTAGCATCAACGATTTTGTGGAGGTGCCATCGACGCGCCCGTTTCTGGTCAAAAAGATACCCAACTCCAACCTGCTGCTGGTCGTGGTCAATGTCCTGATGCCGTCGCGAAGTGTCCGACTCACCACCGAGCCCCAGCCGATACTGGAATACAGCAAGGAGTTTCCCTGCTACAAGCTCAATATGAGTTTCTACGAGAGACGGCGCCTCGAGGAGTGCTACACAGAACACGAGGATGTGAGTGCATTTTTAATATACTCGTTGTAGTCCCAACATTCTAATACTCATCTGTCGTTCGTGCTTAGGAGGAACTGTTCACCTATTGCGGCAATGCCTCGCGGCTGGGTCTGAAGCTCCAGCTGCTGCCGCTGACCATAATTTTGATGTTTTACTTGACGCGCTGCTTTATGCGTTAGATTATATATACACAACTATATACACATATGTACTATACGAGTATGCGAACGACGTTGATCGATTTGTTGATTATAATTACCTATATATATATATATAATTTTTGTTTCCTATAGATTGTAAACTATTCTGTAGTCCAATTCTAGTCGAATGTTTAACAAGCAAACCAAACCAAAACTGGCACAATCTTTGGAACTAAACCACTTTTAGCGAGAGCAATTTCAACTTTTAGACTTACAAACAAAACAAAACGCCAAAGAATAAGAAACTGGTCTTACTTTATAGATATATTGATGGAGAATGCTGGAAGCGAGGCTAAATTGAAGATCCAACTATACAAAGCATAAATTAATTAATTAAAAAAACCACCAGCCCCGAGAAATGATGAGTTCCGGGTGTCCCAGTGCCCCAACCCGTCAGTTTCATAGAATGTTAGCAGGTTAAGTTTTAATATACATAACGCCTCTAGCTAAAGACCCACGTTTCATTAACTATTTTGATAGTTTATTATGGTACAACCTATGCCAAATATTAACAAAACAAAACAAAACAAACAAAAAATAGGAGATGGAAACCAATTATGTAAGCAAACGAAAATAATTCTAACGACAATTATTTTTGTAATTTTATAAAACTTAGTTGATTTTTATAAAGATACAAATTTATGAAAACACATAATATTACGAGTGAACAAGAAGCATAAAAGAGATGGCACACGAGACCCACAAACACTCACACTTAAAAATATTATAAATATTTCGTCCCTTTTGTCCCAACCGCAGAAGAAGTCTTGAAGTAATTTGTTAGCTTTTTTTGGATACAATCAAAATGGATTTATACATACTCGTACATATGTATACACAAATGGGTTATAACTAATTACGACTATGTACTATATTTTAAGCGTTTACATGGCAACAAAAACTATGTTTTCCCAGTTGTTTTTGTACTGTATATTATTGTGTGTATTTTATTAAATGTACCCGTATTTTGTAAAGAACAGAGTTAACAATGAAAGCGCGCACACAGATTGATAGCACCCGAATAGGACCACCTGCAAAGTACGAGTATGCAATACTTGTTACCCAATCATTGATTGATAAGTTTGTTCATTGGATCTTTTCTGGCCTTACACTTAGTCAAAAATCTTAGCAGCTGTTACATACACAAAAAGAGAAGCGAAACGAAACCAAACAAAACAAAACAATACCAAACCGAAAATGAATACCAAAACCAAACAATTGCCTTTGTATCGTATTTCGAATGTGGAAACATTTTATGAACTTTATGAATTTATGCATAGAAAACTGAAAACCAAACCGTAGACGAGTGTTAAACGAAAAAAATAACAATTTAAATTAGGATTATTTTCAAGTGAATGAAATCAAAAGGGGGACGCGTCCTCGAAGCGGAACTGAGGAGGAACAGACAGTGAGGAGGAAGGATAATTGAAAAGTAAACAGTTAACTATTAAATGTAATTTTTTAAACAAACCAAATTACTAAAACAATATTTATTTTTTGGAGTGTTTAAACGTTGTAAAATGTATAAAATAATTACGAAACTAAATCTACATGGTAATCTAGTGGTATACGTGGATTAGCTTCACATTCATAAAGAACACATATTGTAATACGCGTATTCATCTCTTTGAGTTTATCGCTCTTCTTAATCACTACCTTTTCAAGCTCGACACGTATACACATTGTACAAGAAATGTCCACTGAAACTGAAAATGATAAAAATTTTAAATTTCCTTAGCAATATAAATGGCATAGACGTTCGTGCGAATTCGAACTTTTGATGTTTAAAACAAAATGCGGTTTGAAACTGACAAAAAAAAAAGATGTACACAAACCATGAAATATATGAAGGAAAAAGAACATACAACTAATAAGTAAATAAAAAGACCAATAAATGTTTAAATAATGAAATGGGATGTGAACTTATGGAGTTGCTATTCCTGCACTGCATCGTATTCCAAAATCCAAAGTAATACTGCTCAACCGCTAGATCACTGAATCGTGGCCAACCGTCTAACCCTAAGCCTCACTGGAGGCCAGCACAGACTTGAAGTAGTCGCTGTCCAGTTGCTTAATGTCCTGCGTAAACTGTGTGACCAGCTGGGTGAGGTCCTCTACATTTATTTCCGTATTGTTGCCAGCCGTTGAGAGCTGCTGAATAGCGACCTGAATCTTCTCAAGCAATGCCTTATCCTCCTGATTTTGTTTGTCGGCATGCTCGTCCTCAAATTCATTGTATACCTCCTCGGCATTCTGCACCACATCCTCCGGGAAGTTTGCCAGACGGGCCACCTGAATCCCAAAGCTCATCTCCATCACACCAGGACGCACCTGATACAGCAGCGTAAAGTTTTCGGCGTCGGCCACCGCAGCCATGTGACAGTTTTTCACTGTTGGCAGTGTCTCAGCCAGCTTGGTAATCTCATGGAAGTGGGTGGCGAAGAGCGTAAAGCATTTGGTTTCCTTGGCCAGATGCTCGGCAATTGACCAGGCAATGCCACAGCCCTCATAGGTGGACGTGCCACGTCCCAACTCGTCGATAATAACCAAGGACTTTTCCGTTGCAGTCTGAAAAGAAATAATCCCTAAACATCTCACACTCTTCCTTTGAAGGATCCACTCCTCCTCTACTTACCCTTATAATACCCGAAGTCTCAATCATCTCCACCATGAAAGTACTCAATCCCTTTATAATATTGTCGCTGGCTCCCACACGACCGAGAATCGAATCGACCATGCTGATGGTGGCCACGTCGCAGGGCACAAAGGCACCAACATGGGCCATCAGCACGGCAGTCCCAACGGAGCGAATGTAGGTGCTCTTTCCCCCCATGTTAGGGCCTGTGATGATGAACATGTTGCATTTGTCTAAACGAATCAGAACAGATGCATATCAGAGGTATTCAAACGTTTCCTCATAGGTACATTTATATATGACTTTGATTTTATCTCACCCTTTTTAAAGTCCACACTGTTGGCTATGAAGCTAACATGTTCCTGCAGCTCGAGGCAGGGATGACGCACATCCTTGAGAACCAGTTGGCCAGCGCCCTCTGCTAGCATTTTGGGACGGACATAAGGAGTGGGAGCACTGCGGGCGGCAATAGCGAAGCTGACCAAACAGTCCAGCTGTGCCAGCTCATTGTTGAGAGAGGTCAATGGAGCAGCATATCCAACAGCGACCTGTATGATCTCCTCAACGATGGATAGTTGCTGCTCCTCGTAGCGATTGTGACAGCTGGCAAACTCATCGGCATAGCCCTCCAACTTGTCGGAGGTGAAGCGCACACCGCCCTTTATCACGTCTACGATGCGATAGTTCTTGTTCTTGCGAAGCACTGAGTCATCCTTCAGGGTTATGCGGAAGTGGTAGCCCAACTTGGCCACATTTTCCAACTTGACCTGCTTGCCGTCCAGATCAAGATCATCGTTGCACTTGGACTGCAGGCGCTGCATTTTTTCGTACAACACGTTCATGGTCTGCTGGAGCTCCATCAGGCGGCTGTCGAAGGAGGATTTTACCAGGTACTCCCCCCTTTCGATCGCCTCAAAGTCGACTACTTGCTCGACCATCTGCTTGAGCCCCGTAAGATCCTCTAGGAAACTTTTGAAGGGGGAGCAAATCACATTCTCGATCGTCGAGTTTTCCAGGCCAAGCAGAATCTGCACAATTTTTGGAGTTCGCAATATAACCTGATAGATGCGAAACAGGTCCTGCAACGTGGCCTTGCGACGCATCAGTTTCTTGGTCAGCATCAGAATGTCTGGAATGCGCTTCAGATAATCCAAACTAAGCGTCTCGAGGGTATCTGAAGACTCCAGCAGACACTCGACGATGTTATGACGGTCGTTTAGGATCTCCTGGCTGCGCAGTGGCTGTTTCACCCACTTTCCCATTAGTCGGTGCCCCTGTGGAGATCTGCAGTGATCCAGGACACCCAAAATGCTCTGCCAGCGGTAAGAGGGCATGGACGGATGAGTCCCAGGCTTGGGCATAATATTCAAGGCGCCCACAGCAGCCGAGTCTAAATGGACAAATCTGGAATAAAAATGAAGTTATTGAAAGTGTTCAGCGACCCTTTTAGTACACCCACCGCTTTAGATCTAGTTGCTTGATTTCGTAGTGTCCCAAGTTGCCAGCATCGTTGACCAAGTCCAAGTACTTTATGGCCACCTTCAGGGATTCAGCGGCCAGCAGCATTTGCAGCTCCTTTAGCCCGGTGGCGTCCTCTTGCTGGCCTTTGGCGAATCGCAACAAGCGATTCAGGTCCTGCAGGAGATCGTTGGCGCTGCTCTTCTTCGGCACAGTGATCATCACCCCATTCCGCTCCATCAGGGCTTTGACTGGTACATATTCTCCCTCTACCGAGGGTAGTAGGCACTCCTTCGGCCCCAAGAGAACCACAGTGGCCTCCAGCTCCGTGAAGAAGTCGTCGTCGAGGAACTCCAGCAATTGGAACTGGCAATCATTCTGCTCCACACTGGCCACGCCCACGCGTCGCTGGGCTCCACCCTCGAGTTTGACCTGAAGTGAGATTATGTTGTTGCCCACCAAGATCTCCTTGTTGGCAAACAATATGTCCTCGAACTGCAGCAGGTTGCCCGGAGACCCGCGATACTCCAGTTGCCATTCATTACGCTTGATGTAGACCTCAACGCGCAAATTCCTCACCAGGAGCAGCTCGCGCACTGCCATCTCAAAGTTCCCCTTGGAGAGGGCCACGAACTGTAGAGTCTCCTTGTCGTCGGGCAGAAGGGCCCCAATAAACGCGGTTGACTTGTAGACAATCTTAGCCACTAGCTCGCAGTCATCGCTGCCGTGGACCGTGTAGCAGTCCGAGTGATCGTAAAAGCGAACTGTGGTGCTGGGTTTCTGTGAAAGACGGGCTAGAATGTTTTTGGTCTCGGATCGGGGCAAGACTCACCTCGCCAAGCTTGGCATGGTACTTGATGAAATTGCGTCGCGCATTTGTGTCTGAAAGAAATGAGTTCTCTGCATTTGCGTTTTAATTTTGAAAGCTTTGTGCTTACCCATGTGCAGCGTTGGCTCCCGCCCGCTTTCAGTGGCTTTGGCTTGCATGGTTATTCTGTTTTCTATTCTACTTTGTTGTTTAAACAATTGACAAAATTTCGCGCCTGTTTTTATTAAAAATGCTAAACCCAGCTGATTAGCTATCGTTATCGCAAAGAACGCTGCTATTCGATAGTTGGTTCGCAATAGTTTGCTGTTAGGCGCAAGCCGAACATAGTTTGGTCAGTGTTACTTAACAGAGTGCTGTTAAGTGCATCTCAATTGTTTTGATTTGGGTTTTCCATTGTTATTATTAAAGTTCATGCAAAAATACTGACTATTTAAACATAATACACTTGGCACCTAATCAGTTATCAGTCTAATATTGCATTGCAGCTGCAAACCCGTCCGCTCACAGCGCCGTGTCCGCCTTCTCCACGCTCTTCTTCTGCTGGACAATGTCCCAGGCGCCCCCCAGGCCACCCGTCTTGGAGCACAGGTCCAGACTAATGAGGGCGCCCACCGCCGGAGACGCTGCTCGGAGGCACGTGCCCTTAGCCATATTGTAGACAGGACTGTTGGAGTTGCGGGTGTGACGCCACTGCTGGTCCCCCAGCATCTCGTGGCATTTGTTGATGATCACCTGGGCATCGCCAGAGGCCTCCAGACAGAGCAGCTTGTCCAGAATGATCTCCGACTTTTCTGTCTCATACCATAGTTGGTTCGACGTGCTTCGACAGGGCTGCAGCTGCAGGGAGCTGCCTTTCTTCCAGAATCCCTTCACCTTGGGTGCCACAACGGAAGCACAGAGTTCCGTCCCAGCCAACCGCAGCAGATAGAAGTCAATATAGTTGCGTTTCCTCGAGTGCCATGGCTGAAAGACGGGACCGGGGGCTGACTTCTTTGGCTCCTCGCCCGGTATGTGAAGCTCTGGATAGACGTTTCGCAGGTACCACTCAAAGTCTCGACACCGGAGGCGCTCACGCAGCTTCAGCCTATCGCTAATGTCTCCATAGTCGTACTCCTTGGGCACCTTCTCGTGCTTGAGATAAAAGTCCTTGTACTTGTCCATCCAGACGTATGCCAGGCGCAGGGAGTTCTTTAGCATGGTGTTGGCCCCATCCGGCGCAGTGTAGGGGCGACGTTTCCGAAAGATGTGGCCTACTCGGGAGCAGGGCACAATCTTGATGGCGCCGCCACACTGCCACACGCGGAAGGAGATCTCTATGTTCTCGCCGCCCCATATATCCATGGCCATGTCGTACTCGCCGATGTCCTGGAAATATAGCCGATTTACGGCAAACAGTCCACCAGCCATGGTGGGCGAGCGGAATGGACCCCGAAAGTCCTCCGGCACCTTGAGCGTTCCCTCGGGGAGGTTCTCCCACCGGAAGTGCAAGCCCCAGTTGAATCCTCCGCGCACCAGCGGACTCGGAGTGTACTCGAAGGTGTCTGCGTTGATCAGGTCGATGACTGGAACGGCAAGCGAGGCATTCTCCGCCTTAATGAGGCGCAGCAGCGGCTCTATCCACTGGCGGTTCACCTCGATGTGCGAATCCAGGAAAACCAAGACATCTCCGACGGCCTCTCTTGCGCCAATCACGCGAGAGCGGATCAGTCCCTCCCGCTTGTTGTTCTTCACATACCGCAAGTTGTCGTACTTGAGACGGGCGCGGAGATCGCCATGCAGATGGAACTCCAGCTCGGGCAGGTCGCTATGGTCGTCGACGAGGACAATCTCCTTAAGCAGGTAGCTGGGCGTGCGCTCCAAAACGGTCTTAATGGACCGCATCAGCGTCATTTTGTGCTCGTTATAGAAGCACATGATGACGGAGGCTCGAGGCAGTTGCTCCGCCTCGCTGGTCTCGCTCCTGTCACAGACCTTGTGGCGCGTGTCCGGAATCTCGCGATATAGTCCAATATTGTTGGATACCAGGGCATTGAAGGCATGATGTTTATATCCAATGTCACGGATGTACTTGTCCTGCTTGTTTCGCACCACGCCCAGGAGCTCCAGTGGCTCGGAGGGAACCTCTGCTACTGCTGTGGAGGAGTTGGAGTGGAAAGAGCTGGGAGTGCAGCCACTCGTGACCCTTGCCTCGTAGCTTAGTTCCGCTCTGGGAGAATTATTTGATTTGTTGAACCTCCAGCCAGCCGTGTGTATGGAACTGTTAAGATTGTGGTTGTAGAGAAGGAGGGCCAGGATCCACACAGCGGCTATTAGCATGGTGCCCAAGGTGCAGGACTTGCAGAGTAGTCTTTTGATTTGCATCATAGGTTGAGATTCGTTTACGTAGCCCGTTTTGAACACTATTTCGTCATTGTTGAATTGTGAATAAATTAATGCTAATTTGCATAGCAACATCGATGACATCGATGTTACTTTTTATTTTTTTTTTTTTGGTATTTAATCGCTAAAGCGAATTGAGTGGTCGCACGACGATGAATCTGCAATGACCAATGTTACTTTTTAAACATCGATGTTTCTGCAAATCATTTTTACATATTGTTGTCACATGTAATGTCTGTCTTTAAGTGTAGATTTTAAGGAAGGCGTTGGAACACAACCATTATACGTAAAATAGTATTTTACTTAATCATTTTAATCATTGACTTTAAATAAAAAAACACCGGATACAGCTTCACATGCACACAATGTGCTGTAGAGCGCACACTTTTGGAGCCAATTCAAATTTCAAATTTGCCACTCACCATACAGTACATACACTATGAGGTAAACAAAACAAAATCATATAGTCATAAACGTGCTTGGGGTGCGTGAACAATCAATCGAGTCTAATAAATGTATACAATTTTCACAATGCTCGATAAAAGTGCTGCTAAAATTGCTAGAATAATTTTTAGCTCTACTGGCGCTTTTTCGGGGCAATAATTATTTCGTGACACTTGTCTGTCATCACTTGCTAAACACCCACGCAGTCTTCAGCTGATTCGTGGCGCAGCCACTTAAAAACCGTATGATCATCACATAGAATACGTGCCTGGTTAGGATCTCAGAGCTTAGCAAGCCAGTAGATAACGAGCTTTGGTTTTCCCTTCACCGTTTAGTTGAGCTTTATTGGCGTGTCCTGGTATATAATCAAGACCTTTTCGTCTTCCTGTATTTTTCGATGTGTAATTTGTAAATAATAGAATTTTTTTATTTACTGTTTTTTTTAATAAATTTTTTTTATTTTTAAAATTATTTAAAAAAAATTAATATTTATTCAACAAATTATTTCTAAAGACAGGTAACAAAATATAAAATATTCAGAATCATGTTCTGGTTGTGTGGGTTCTACGAGTACATTAGGATCCGAAAGAAGACTAAATAACCGTCTTTCTAATTACTCTGACCATGCATCTTTCCGTAAGCTTTGCCGAAACTATAATGCATTTTTTCATGTGTTTTCTTTCGAAAATTGTACTATTAAGGTAAAGTCTATGTTAATGATTCATTTAAATTAGTTTATTCTTAATTTTATCAGCTATTCTATGACCTCAACTTGGCTGTGAGCTCCTACTTGAGCCAATACATTAGTCCCCTTAGGTCAGGGTAATATGTCAATATGTCATATGTATACATTTAAATTGTTCTTTCATTAGTTCAACTGCACATTGTGGAGCCTTAAACAATTAACAATTAATTTCTTTAAAAATGTTAACGTGTTGATCAAACATCAAAACTAAAAGAATTCATAAAAAACAAAACGCAAGCAAAGAACAATGGTATTGTATTACTTATACCAGTACTCAAGTAGTTAAGGGGTATATTGTATTTGTGGTAAAAGTGGATGTGTCCAACGCAGAGACATAAATTATATATATTCTTGATAAGCATCAATAGCCGAGTCGATTAAGCCATGTTCGTCTGTCCGTCTTCTTTGTTGCCAAGTTGCCATGGTTCGTCACAAGCAGTCGGTGTAACCAACGCTACCCCCAGGTGTAGATATGAACACCAACGAATTCAAAGACGAAGCACAGGTTGAAAGACAGAAAGACGTCGACGGAGGAAAGGAAGAAAAGCGAGAGCTCAGCACACGCGCGGCCAATCGACGGAAAGGCGCTGGCCAAGATTATATAACCAACCCCCACCACAGCAAAACCAAGTAACCAAAGCTCTCAAATGACGAGGTCAACAAAATAAAAACTCAGCACACGTGCCACCAAAATCCACGAAAATGTGAACAGTAAGAGACAAAATAAAGAAATATAACTACCAACCTCAGCACACGCGTGACCGGCAGACAGGAAAACCGAGGACTCAGCACACGTGCCATCGAACGTCAAGGAATTGCGATCACCCCACGCAGCAAAATACAACCAATAACATGGAAAAGTGCAGATCAACACGCTAAAGCGAAACCCTAGCCCGGCTCGGAGCAATGTCCTATACATAGCAGCACTGGCCCTGTAAAGAAAGGGAAAACGCTATATATATCTGAGTTCTACCTGTAATAAAGTAGTTCGATTGGAGTTCGCCATCAGTTCGCAAATCGGGAGTTCGCTTGCAGTTCGCTAGGAGTTCGCCTTGAATTCGCTTTCGAGTCGATAGGCAGTCCATCAGCCATAGTCAATCAGCAGTCCATCAGCCATAGCAGTCAGGCAAATAACAAACACGCAAAGCAGTCCACCGGGAATCAAGAAGTTACCTACACGCCGCGGCCCAACAACCAAACTAACTAAGTAGCAATAATAATAATCCGACACAAATAAACAAAACTATTTAAAACTCTAAAAGAACCAAAAAGTGTTGTGAATAGCAAATCGTTTTCTTTCAGTTCCTGGCAAAGCTCCTGGTTTTTCCCGATAAAGTCCTCGTGAATTACAAATACCTTGTGATTCAGGAGCCTGGACGGACTGATGCATACCTCAGCCTGAGATAGGTCCTCACAAGCTAGAGCAACCAAATTTTATTTCCAGTCTCATGTGATATCACACTGCTACAAGTGTATTTCAAAATTTAGCCCTGCCCCCTTCCGACCACTAAAGGACGGAAATCTGTGTCAGCCATAATTTAAAAGATACGATAAAACTAAAAACACAGTATCGTAGAGAATGACCATATCCACAGAAATCTGAATCAGATCGGATCATAATTATAGCCAAAATAAAGAAATTCATTTTCAGTTGCTTCCCCCACCTCCTCCAGCAAGAGACTCTTTCTCGGTCGCTTCTCTCTGCCTCGTTATGTGATGCGGTGAAGATGTAGAATATGCATTGTAGATGTAGATAACAAATGTAGCAACAAAATGTAAAATTTAAAAATTTGAAAATATTACATAAATCCACAGCAGTCTGTTCCACGCTCCCCTGCTCTAACTGATCTGCTTACCACACTAACTAAACAGTGGTCTTAGGTTCTACACGGCACGATCACGGCATGGCTGTCGCCAGGACAGAGTTTTTCCTTGGATTGCGATTATAGGAACTACACGAAGGACTCTTAAAATGTTCGTGAAAAATTCCATCATATTTAAAAAGAAGAAGAGTAATGCCGCGCCTGGCAACGCCTCCAAATCTGGATCCAGATGTGAAACTCCGATTCCCCCTGGCACCAACCGCCATTTGTTGCGGCGGAAAATGTGTTTCCTTTTATAACATTACTCGACAAAATTGAATTTTTTTCCGGCTATGGCCCAAATTTCTTTTTCTGATAGATTTCGGAATTTAATTTTTTTTTTTTAACTATGGATTTTTTTATGTTTTAGTGTTTTTTTTTAAATTTTTTAAATTTGTCTAACCGCATAATAATCTTCAGTAATTATCTTGGATCTGTTGCCGGTGGGTCCAACGCGTATTTCACCTGGTTCCAGATTAATTAGATTAATTGGCCTGCAGTCAGTACAATGTTGAGTGCAATAAAATTTACAACACATACGACCCACGAAGCATGATGTGAATTTTTTGAAACGCCATTTGCGCTGTTTGAGGTGGCGTGATTGATAATGCACTGATATGTGCACAGTTTATCCTGCTTCAAGGACAGCTCCTGCAAGCCCTCCCATATGCCATTTTCGTTGCAAGTTACATAATATTCCTTATCGGTCAGGCGCATAAAGCCCTCGGTGCACCTGAATTTCACGCTGGTATCAGGAATTAGAGAGTTTTCGTCATTACAATTGAAGCTTGATCCATCCTTGCCATTGTAGCATGTGGGAATCAAAGAAGCAATTTTAGTCAGGTCCTCTGGTCTGCAAAGCTCTGCAAGGGTGAAGGGAAAAGTTGATACTGTGGAGAAGACTAATTAAAAGACGAGAGACTTACTGGTACAGCGCGGACTAGAGTTCTCCTGTGACCAAGGGGTAAAAGATAATACATAAGAGAAGGCCTTACGGTACCAGCTCTTTTGACAGCCGTTTGTGCCATTCGTGTCGGGGTTTCTGTTTACATATTTAGGCATGGTCGTGCACGAGGGAAGTTCGCGGTTCCAGGACCCGTCCTTCATGCACACATTCCAAGCTGTTTGATTGCTGCTCTGGCATTGCAGCTCGGCAGGTTGATTGGGATAAACAAAGCGTGTTTCTTTTCTCAAAGAGAACATTGTATTGTCGGTAAATCTGTGCTTCCCGCCTGGCGGCTCTATGCAGATCGCTGGCAGGGTCTCTGTCCAGCTGTCCGAATTTCCTTGGCAGACATTGCGCAACTCGTCGGATCCGTCCAAGCAGTCTATTTTGTTATCGCAGACGAGTTCCGAATTGATTGCTACGCCATTGGCACACTTAAAACAGTCTCGGCAGCTATCCAAGCAGAGTTCCAGGGACTCATCCCGACCATTGCTGCAGTCGATTCTGCCATCGCATTTCTTATTTTCAGGGACGCACTCCCCAGGTAGGCATTCGATTTCTGAGCTTCGACATTTGCCCTGAATGTTCAAGTCCCTAAACTTTAGTCCAAAAGGCTCGTATTCACATAATTGTGGCAGCTCATCAGATCCATCAGGGCAATCCCTTACATTGTTGCAAAGTTGTTCATCGATCATTAGTATGCCAGAGGCACAGTAGAACATGTCTGCCACCGAGTCATTCAGGTGAGCCTTGCACTCTGCAAAGGATTCGTCGCTCCCGTACTTACAATCTGGTGTCCCATTGCAACGACCCATGATTGGGATACACTTTCCATCTTCTTCACACTGATGTTGTGAATTTTGATTGCAGACTTCCGCTGAAGCGAGCCCAAATATCAGCAACAGTCTCACGTAAGTCTTCCAATACGAGTAGAGCCTATGGAGCATTATTATTATGCGGTGTTTTATTTCGAAACTCTTCAACAAATTCGGCACTTCGGATCCGATATTCTTAAATGTCGCTGATGAACTGAGCTAAAACAGCTTAGGCCTTCGAGCGAGAAATTCTGCCGCTTATCTGCGTCTCTTTCCGTTGAACAAGGTCAGAAGAGTCAAGTGAATCTGTGCTGCTCGTTCGTTACTTTGCTGCTCTTATCATCATTGGCACACTTATATTTTTCGAAAATATATAAGTTAACGAGTGCTTACCAATCCTCCTGGGCGGAGGAATATATGCCAAGTTTGGCGATCTGCGAACATCTGCGCGGGTGTCAGCATTTTTATGCTGCGCTGCGCCGGCGTCGCGACTAACAACAGAGGGCTCGCGGTCGACGGGCTGGGTTAGGATAGTTTAGTTTTTATTTGATTCGCCGAGCTGCAAGAACGTATTCGTCTTGCATTGCCTCTTTAATTACTCAAACAATTAAATATGTTATATTAACCTACTAACCATAATCACCATCTATTGAATAAAGAATACGATGAATATAATATCCCGTCGTCTTATACTTAATCAAGTTTGAAGGATATAAAACATTACTGGCGCCCAACGTCGCACAGTGGGCACTTCGGCCATTTCAGCTTGCTAAATTAATAACTTCTGAACGAATCAAGATATCTTCATGAAGTGAACTGCATTTGAAAGGAAAAATCTTTGAAAATTTAGTCTGCAGGATATGATAAGATAATGGTGCTACAATGTCTAGAAGCTTTAAATAGTAAAAGTTGAACTTTGACTCCGGTGAATATTTGCCTTTTTGCGGTGCATTATGTGCTAAACTTTGTTTTTTCCAACGATAAAAAAAGTTTAATGGTTATTATCACTACATATAATATTTTTAAATTTTATTTTTAATCAAATATAATTTTAAAGACATTTTTATTATAAAACATATTTTAAAATTTGTTGTACAATAGTTATAAACTTAAAATTTCTATAGAAGAACTATTTTCCGATATATCTTGAGATATCCCATGTCTAATGGATGAAATATATAAAATCATTAGAGTATTAACCTCATTGTTGGCCGTTTTTCAACTTTGATCTGAATTAAAAAAAAAAAGTTTTGTTTCTGGACTAAAGTACGTTCGAGCGTCATTTTTCTCGGAACCTATTTCTATTCTCTCTCGTCAAAAGAGCAGATAACAACGGCGGAGCTTGAGTCCATACTATACAACAATATATACAATATACAACATTATTGTCTGTGGGCAACATAAATATAATATGTGTATGAGTGAATCTGACATTGACACTGAAGTGAGCGAACTGCTGTTACTGCTAGACAACCCAACACTGACTTGCGACCACGCACAGTGGCTCATTTTCTGAAAACTCGTTGCAAAGGTCGGATATCGCGTTGTTGAATTTGGCAAAACTTTTGTTACACTGATGAAGCTATTCAAAACCAAAATTTTATAATTTGATAACAATGTTTAAGGTTTATAATCGTTGTTCAAAGTTGGACCATTTTTCTGTTTTTGAAAAAATTAAGAAAACCGTTCTTAAAAGGCAAAGGTTAATGCATTTTTCTCAAAACGTACTCAAGCTAGGAGAAATTTTTTTTTTCTTTAATTTAATGAACAAATTTAAAATAATCATTAAAAACAAGAAAATATTTGTTTCGATTATATTTGTTTCATTATTTTCAATTTTAAGCGGGATATAAAAAGGATATATTTGGCCAAGCATTGGACTGCACGAAAAAATGGTTGCTATATTCAGCAAACAAACAAACCATTACCAACCACAATTGAACCTTTTAGGAGATATTAGTTATTTTCCATTCCAACCCATGCTAACTAAACGACCTTTCGTAGTCGGCCATTAGAGAACGCTGCAGAGATGCTCAATATATTTTTTGTTTCAAATTCTAACTATCTAACAATTAACAAACACATTCATAAGGTATAAATACGTTAATTTTAGATTAGCCAACCCAAGCGCCCCAATCACGTTCCAGGAACTAAAGACGGATATCTGCTAGCTCAAAACTATATAAGTTAACACATAAGAAATAACATATAAGAAATGAAGCACGAATGTTCATGTGCCACCCTAACGTAGCGCATAAGAAATATGAATAATCATGTGCCGCCCTAACGTATCCAAGTCTGATACTCAAGACGTGATGCAGCAAATGTCGCCGTAGCGGGCGGCTCCCTTCTGGCGCATGTTGCATGGTCAGCATTTCCTGTTTATGCGCGGCCGGCTCGCCGGCTATGTTTTGGTTAGGTTCAGAATTAAGTTTCAGTTTAAGATTTGACACGAATCCTAAAACCTTTATTAACATAATCATATTGTTGAGCCTTAAGGGCCAACGAAATAGAGGGCAGTTATCCTCTCAACATAATCTTCAGTAGAAGACCTAGTTGCCAAACGGCAACCACCGCCCCCCGCTACAAGAGCGGGCCACGGGAACCCGATCGCTGCCGCCGGAGCCAACGCAACGGAGACCGCAGCTGGGACCAACACCACTTTAAGATAATTGGCGCCCAACGGGATTTAGGTGGATCCCCAAGAAAAAATAACATGTAAGTGACTGCTCGGAAAAAATAAAGCTTGTGAAAGAATTTTTGTTTCCCCTTCGCTGATCGTTCATGAGTTGGGACTATAGAAACAAGGTCGAATACGACAGTGAAGATAGCCCAGACTTATCGTACCAGGCCCCAGTCAGAACTAAACAGTCAGTACAGAATCAATTAGAAATGGATCCAGCAATGATAAAAGCGTTAGTAGAAGGCGCAATCAACAACGCCCTCGTCGAACAGGAACGACGACTGAGTGCAGAATCTGGCAGGGAACCCGAAAAAGTGAGAAATAGTGTGAACGCCTTAACTGTAGGTGCCCCTCAGGTGGAAACTTATAAGAGAGTGACCATTGACCAAAATCTAAAATGTGAAGTGAAACTAGATATCGTGAAATCAGTACCAACTTTCAACGGGAATCATGAGGAGTATGTGTCTTGGAGACAATCTGCTCTAGATGCGTACGAAGTTTTCAAAAACTACACTGGTAGACAGGCACACTACGAGGCTGTGGCCATCATAAAAAATAAAATCTGTGGAACAGCTCGAGCATTTCTCACATCGCACAACACGCTGCTCAATTTTGATGCAATCATAGCTAGACTTGATTGCACATATGCGGACAAAACATCCCTACGTGTGTTACGTCAACACTTGGAAATGGTTAGGCAGGGTGAAACCGATCTAATGGAATATTATGACGAGGTCGAGAGAAAGCTCACGCTCGTCACTAACAAAGTGGTCATGACTCATAATGAGGAGGCAGCTACCATTCTCAACGAGGAAATTAGGAATGATGCTTTACACGCATTCATAGCGGGCCTCAAGAGGCCGCTAAAATCGCTTGTTCTCCCGGCACAGCCCAAGGATTTGCCATCCGCCTTAGCTCTAGCTCGCGAGGCCGAAAATAGCATTGAGAGAAGCGCATTTGCCGCTACGTACGCAAAGGCGATCGAGAAAAAAAACCATTCAAGCGACGGCAATAGACAGGGTCATCGGGCCCAAGCCAGGCAAGGTAGAGGTCAGGAAAAGAACCCACATTTTGTGGGAAAAAGTACTCAAAATAGGCAGCAACAGAGCGATCCTTGGCCAAATCCAAACGATAAAGAGGCCCCACAGCAAAACCAAGTGCAACCTATGGAGGTTGACCCATCAACGTCCAGGTTTAGGCAACAGACCAATTGGGGGAAACCACAGAGCGACGTCACACAGGGCGAAGCTCAGAAAAGGCGGAATACGTCAGATCGTATATCTGGGCAAAGACGCCAACGGGTAAATAATATAGTACAGCAGGCCCCTAACCAAGGGGAACAAGAATATGCAAACTTAGCCGAGGCCGCGGTTGCGGAAATTGACGAAGAAAGTGACTCGGCTAGCGGCAACGACCTGTTGAATTTTTTAGGGAGCGCTCCCAATTGCCGTTCGTCGAGCGACAGTTGGCTGGCAGAACACTAAAAATTTTAATCGACACTGATGCGGCTAAAAATTACATAAAGCCCGCAAAGGAGCTAAAAAACGTAACTTCGGTCGATACCCCCTTCACCGTGAGCTCAATACATGGCTCCAGTGAAATAAAAAACAAGTGCCTAGTGCAGATTTTCGGGCTTAACGCCCCATTTTTTTTGTTAGACACGCTAAGTACGTTTGATGCCATTATAGCTTCCGATTTGCTAACGCGAGCGGGAGCGGCATTGAACCTGCATTGAACAATCAGATACGGAAACGTAACTGAACAACTTAAGTTCCACAACTGTGACAATGTAAATTTCACTAAAGTCGATGACCTGGTGGTCCCAGGCTCTGTAAAATCCTAGTTTAAAAAGATTATACTGAAGAGAATTAAAGTTTTTTCGACCTCTAACGAGGCGCTTCCCTTTAACACCTCAGTCGTCGCCACCATCCGAACTGAGAATGACGAACCAGTCTACTCGAAATTATACCCCTACCCTATGGGAGCAGCAGACTTCGTAAACAAAGAAGTCAAAGAACTGCTAAGGGACGGCATAATAAGACCATCTAGGTCACCATACAACAGCCCAATTTGGGTTGTAGACAAAAAGAAATCTGACGCCCACGGCAACAGGAAAAAACGGCTGGTAATCGACTTCAGGAAACTGATCGAGCGAACAATCGCCGATCGATACCCTATTCCAAGCATACCCATGATTCTAGCGAACTTGGGAAAGGCAAGATTTGTTACTACCCTAGATCTAAAATCTGTGTTGGTATGGGAACACCGTAACTACTTGAGGCACTAAACTAATTTAACCGAATATACGAGCATTATAGATGACACCGTTAAAATGTTCGAGTTGTTCCCGCATTCGCATATGCGAAAACTATTAGAGGTAGACAAAGAACATGCAAAAAATCTGTTGTCCGCTTTAATGATACATCATAGGATGACCAGAAGCCTAGACTTCCTGGGAACAGCCCTAAAGGTCGTAGCAGGTACCCCCGACGGGTCGGACCTCGAAAAAATAAGAATAACAAAATCACAGCTTATAGAAT